GATAATAATGGCAACTATTTTGATTAAATAAATTTGTTAAAAATTTAGAAAATAAACAATTTAGATTTTCAGTACAAATCGGCAATTTCATACTTTAACCCCTATTATATATATAGTAGATGGTAATCCAAAATGGAAAGCTCATATAGGAGTAGTACCCTATCTAAACAAATCCACTATGGTCCCATTCTTTGTAAGTTTCAATAATAATCAGACTTTTGTCAATTATTTACTTCAGGAGCTTGCATGTCACAGACTTACACTAGATCTTATTCTAGTATTCTGTGAGTCTAGGGTTAAATTACTTGTTCTACTTTCAATTACATATCATTATCAACATTATTTACATGTGGTAATCCTAATGCAAACAAATCTGCTGTTCTACATATTTCATTTGTATTAATGTATACCATCACCCCTTAAATGCCCTATATGGCCTATATTGTTTCAGTAAAGTGCAAAGTAAAGTAAGTTTCTTACACCTTTTTTATTTAGGCAAATACTTTTTACAACAAGTTTCTATCAACTTAGTTACCTGTTAGTTTGTTTGCTGAATTTAATTGACTAATTAACTTTAGATAAGGCCTTGCCATATCTTGATGATGTCATAAGAAACATTTAGAAAGAAAACATGGAGGAATAAATGAACCGTGAATTTTGTTTGCATTGTGTTCTGATTCAACTTTGTATTTACATATAAATAAACAGATTGTATAGCTCAAAATTTTACATGGGTAAAAGGCCAGTGAGAGGTTAAGTATAAAAGAATCACCAATGAGGTATATTATCCCCTATTATTGCCAGCCTGATGGTAGACTTAACTACATTCTTAAGAAAAACTGACTTGATACTTTTGAAGCATTCTTTATTTCAGTCCCAGGATTTTTAAGAAACAGTATTAGGTCATGGGCAACTATACAGGTTCGTAATAAGAACTAGAACCAGATTTATTTAATTTTCAGAGGAGAGGAAAGACTGGGTCACCCTGGAGTACGGCTAGCGATAGCCCTACGCCAACCAATAGCGTAGCAGAGCGCGTGCATCCTGTGTGGGAACACAGTGCAACAGGTCGGGGTGTTTGGCCAGCAAACACTGGAGAAGAACATGCACAGCTCTTGGGTAATTCCTATATTCCTATACTCTTTTCATTGTTTAATTTCTCTTTGACAGTAAAAGAGATACAGATATTATAGTAAAACAAAAACATTTAAAAACCATATGAATAATTTAAGGAATATCAATGTGTAAGATGGCTGTACTGACTGAAGATTTCGTCTTGAAAATCAAAATATTATCACGAGCCTGTTGCCAACTAACGATCCAAACTTGGCCTCACCCATTTGTTTAATCACCCATGAAAGGGCAATGATAACATTATGGTCAAAGTATATCTAATAAAACATAATAACAATCTTATGATTCTTTGCTCTTTGCCTACATTCACCATCAACAAATTAGGCGTGGCGTCGTCAAACGAGGCGTGAAGAGGCATATTGTAGGCAGGCAGGGTGGAGGTGGCTAGTGCAGTGAGGATTTCATCGCTGCACTAGGTTCCTTCGCGTTTGGATACCACTTTCCACTTAACATCAGGTGGAGTGGAGTCATTTGCCTGTCATGTATAAAAAAAAAAAAAAAAAAAAAAAAAGGCATATCGATACCAGAAGTATCAATTAATTTAAGGCACAAACCAAGGTTTTTCAGGAGAGCCAAAAAACGATTTTATTTTTTTAAATCTGTCTATAACTTTTTACTTTGGAAACTTTTCCTTTTTTTTTGGAAAGGATAATTTACAATAGAATTACATATAATTTTCTTTTTAATCACATAAAAACATCTTTTTTTAATATTTTATTAATGTAAGGGACATGCTATATTTTAAACCACTGGGCATTCCTACATTTTAATTATACCAATCAATAGAGCGGAAACTTCCGAATCCAATGATAATCATATGTAACTAATTTTCGACAAAATGTCTCTTACGTTAATTAATACTTCTGGTATCGATATTGCAAACATTGTGACACTTTGTGTTTTAGTATTTGTTTGGGAATTGGCATGTTTGATTTTTGTGTATCTGAAAGTAACAGATTTCCATTATGTATTTAAATGTAAACTTTGATGCTGACAAGGATTTTTAAAATTTACTGAACACTGTATATTAAATTCAATTCAAATATCTATTCACTACACCAATGCATATAACATTGCCTATAAGTAGATCAATTACAAGAAAATCAAATTTAAAATGTAATAGAAACTTCTTATCATGATTTTTTTTTAAAGAACGACTGTTTGATTTTTTTAAAAGGGTCATTTAAAAAAAAGTTAAATGCGTTACTTATAATATACCTGATTGTGAATTGATGAATATAAGCTTAAAATGTACTTATAATATTTTCTTTATTAGCTAGAGGTTTTCAGTTTGAGTATTAAGGCATACTTTGCTGATGAGTTTTTGGAATTAGTAAATATGTTACAATATTAAGCATTTTATTAGTATTTTTACCATTGATATCTTATGTTTATTGTAAACGTAAACTTGTTGTTACTTGTTGTGACATAATACGGTACAAATAGTTTTAAGTTTTCATTGTAAAAATTTGACTTTAATTTTTCCATCTGCACTTCTATTCATTATAGGTACTGAAGAAGAGTCTTCAGATCGTCATTCGTCTGAAGAAGAGGGCGACACAGAGACGGGCGAGGACATGTGGGCGATCAGTGAGGCGCAAGCGCGCCACTACGCCGCTCAGTTCGCGCAGTTGCGCCCAGATCGTGGTATGCTCTCCGGACAAACAGCTAGGTAAGTAACTTGCGAATAATTTGATTATTTTGTGTGTTAAAATCAGTAAGTATTTTATGTGTATACTTTTAATATTTATCTTTTTCAGGTTGTTTTTTGAGAAGTCCCGCCTCTCCGTGCCAGACCTCCGAAAAATTTGGCTCCTCTCTGACATCAACAAAGATGGCATGTTAACTCTTGAAGAGTTCAGTATAGCTATGCATTTAATCGTACTTAGACGAAACAATATTCCGGTGCCGGACATTCTGCCCGCCTGTCTGGTGCCGAAAGTAGACTCGCGCTTCTCTCAGCAGGCCGTCACCACGGACCTCGTAGATCTCGGTTCAGACATGTTCAGTTCCGGAACATCGGCCGACTTCAATTTCGCTCCCAAAACTGACAAGGATACATACGACGGTAAACAAAAAAAAGAGGAACGACAACCGTCACTCACCCCTCCGAAACCAGAGCAACAAGTCAACAACAAAGAATGGACCAAATTCGTAGACTCCCCCACATCAAGCGTATCCAGTCCCGGACCTAAACCCGTTAATTTCGATTTCCACAAGTCTGCCGTGGAGAAGGACCCTAAAATCTTCCACCCCGTGGCGGTGCGCGTAACGCCAGACGCTAACTCGCTACCGGCGCACGGCGAGGGCGACCTGCGTTCCAGTACGTCACCGCGTCGCGACGACTTCGCGCACGCTTTCGAACTGGCCAGCCCCAAACGGCTCAACTCGCAGCCGCCCGCTGAGCCTCCGCCAAACGGCAGCGCCGAGATCAAATCCATCCAGCGGCCGCAGCCCAAGAAGCCCGTGAAGAGTGCGGGCGTGCTGCCGCCGCCGCCGGCGCGCGAGCCGTCTGTGCACGCGGACGACGGCCCGCAATCGCTGCAGTTCGCGCCCAAAAAGGAGCCCCCTCCGCCGCCGCCGCCGCGGCCGCTGCGCAACCACACGCGCTCCAGTTCGCTGGACCTGAACCGCTTGAAAGCCGCGCCGCCACAGCCTCCGCAGCCGCCGCCGCGCTCGTCGCCGTCGGCCGCGTCCCCTCCGGCGCGGCGGCCGCTGCTCAACCAGCGGTCGGAGGGCGAGCCCGCGTTCCCGCCCGACGCGTTCGCGCCGCGCGACTACGACGGCGAGGGCTTCGGCTACGTGCGCGACGACGCGCCCAAGATGCACGGCGCCTTCGAGGTGTACCGCAAGCCGTCGCGCGAGGCGTCGGCCGACGCCGACCCCGACGTGAAGGCGCTGCAGGAGCAGAACGCCGTGCTGCACCGCGTGTGCCGCGCGCTGTGCGCCGAGCTGGCCGACGTGCAGCGCGAGCGCGAGGCGCTCAGGGCGCGCCTCAACCACTCCACGCCCGTCTAGTCAGTCGCAACTACTAAACTATGTCCCCACAGTTAGAACGAGCAGCGAACGTCTCGTGGCGCGGCTTCCTACTCACAAAATTACGGCCTGGTAAGGAGCTCTGTTGACTGTACTCGGGCGAACCGACCTGGGTCCTTCTCGAGAGTTTTATCGATGGATTGGTGCACATCGTGCGTTTTGTCTGTCATGCATGTGATTATAAGTAACGTTGTAGATAGGTGATAAATTGATTAATATCGCAATTTCATGAAATTTATATTATTTCCTTTGCTAATCGTGTAAATTATCCCAGTATACATAAGTAAAGATCAAATGATAAGTAAAACGATTGTAAGTAACTAAAATAGCTATAATATCTAAAGTTTAAAAATACTAAATTTTTACAAAAACAAAATCCATTTTTTTTAACAATCGATATTTTTAGCTTTGACTGTTTTCAAAAGCTCTAGTTTGTTGCTGTTTGCCTTCATTACTATCGTCTATACATGAAAACGTTTAATGCTCTTTCATTTAAATTAAAGAGGCTATAAATTGTACATTGGAAATGTACGTCCATTATTCCATTACTTTTAAATGTCCCGATTAGTTTTTTGTCAATATGTAGTCATTAATTACAATATCAATATAGCTAAAGCAATGCGTTCTAGGGGGAATTATCTCAAAAAGATTTTAATATACTAATTAAATAAGTATTTAAAAGCTTTTTGTTATTCTTTTAATAGTCGTACTTTTATTTCCAGTGATATGAAATATGAAATCGCCAAAATAGAATATAAGGGGGTATTTTTCGAACAAGAACATACAATTTATACAAAATCAATTTACGTGCAACAGATAATACAATTTTAGCCAAATTTGATTTTGATTGCCTACCTTTATGATGCCGATTTTATTAAAATTTTAATTTTGATGTTTGCTACGAAGTAGGCTTTTACCTTTTGGAATGAATGGTTGTGTCGTGTTGTATTTATGTATTGTACAGTGGGCGTGTGGGTTTATTTTATTGTTATATATTTCACAGTTTTGTATTATGCACGTGCCACTTCTGGATGCGTGGCTTCTCTAAGGAGATGGTGTTGGCCATACTTAATGCAGAAAATTTGTTTTTATTTTTTTTTTCGAGCCGATCGCGCTATGCGTCTGAAACAAAATTTTTACAAGAATTTCGGGTGTCGTACAGTCAATGGCACGCTCAGTTTTACGCCTCAGATTTAAACTCAACTCTATGGTACATAAAATAAGATGGTCCAAAGTGTAAAGCTTAGTATTCTGTTGCTTGTCTAAGACGAGGTTCAACAATTTGTTTAGGTTCAATTTATATAGCGGCGGAACGGAATGGAAGTGCATTTTTGTAACGATATTGTACATAACATAATAATAATATTGTTTATTTTCAGACAAATATCCCATTTTGCATATACAATGTGGCATAATATAACAATAGTGATATTATACGAGAATAACATATCGACTGTGAACTGGCAACCGGTACTATCTCAGTATTCTCAGTTTTGACAACTTTACTGGATGAAGAAAAAACATTTATGTAGCATCTAGTTTATTAAATAAAAAAATACGGAGTGTACACACATACACGTGTAATGAAAATATTTAAAATCTACGTATTTTTATTTAATAAACCAGATGCTACATAAATGACGCAAACAATCTTTTTCTTCATCCTGTAAAGTTGTCAACTGATTGCCAGTCCACAATCGATATAGGTATAAAAGAAAGTAAAGTACTAAGGTATGACCTAATCAATTTCCTGTTTGCGTCGCGGTGGATGGAACGCCAGTACTTAAAAATAAATGTAACTTTATAGTAAATTTTGGTTCGTATCTAGTTTGTTTGTTACACAATTGACCATAAAGTTAATTATGCTATGTATAATATCGTTACAAATATTCGCTTCCATTCCGTTCCGCCGCAATATAAATTGAGCATAAACCTTCAATCCTCAGATAGACATTAACGACGAAGATCCGCATATTAAATAATATTGGAATAATCAGTCCCAATTTTCATATTCAAACATGTACTCAAAAGTTAACTGACTCACACTATATGGTCGGATTTTATTATAACACTTCCTAATTTAAAATGCAATTTTTTTATCCATTTTTATGGGTGAAAAACAATTCAATGGGTACAATTTATTCTATTACATAATTGGTATAAATGTGTTTGAGAAAACAATTATTTAAGAATGGCGTCAGCTTACGTTGCATTCCTTACTAATAAATTGCTTTGACTTTATGTGTAAAAATAATGTTAAAGTACCGTCAGAGATACTATGTGATTGTTAAAACTTGTGAACGTTGTTAAATAATATTGTATTACTTTAGCTTAGCGAATGTAAAATGTCGAGTAAGAGAATTCTAAAGAAAAACGATGTATCTGATGATATTTGAGATGTGGTTATTATACAAGATTGTTATTGTAATTATTCTACGCCGCAATGGCTGCCGGGCGAAGACACGTCTACACTCAACAAATATGTATGTATATGTAACTATTATTTATAGTGATAATTCTATGAAAGAATTTGTGGGAAATCATCTTGTATCATATAAGATATTGTAATGTAAAAGTATTTATCTTTTGTTTTAGTACTATTGTATAAGTACTTTACTCCTTCATTGTCGGCAGCGATCATTATGTAAATAATATCTCAGTTTCTTTATACAGACGAGTTTTTAAATGTCTCAGTAATGCTTTAAGAAGCCCACTGATCTACACTTTGGTCCAATTTTGTACTAATATTCCACCCTAATAATTAACTCTTATTTATGTTTCATAAAAATACAGTAATGCTTATTATTGTAGTAGTAAATTATGTACAATAAATTTATATCAAAATTTTATTCGTATTTAAATGACAATTTTCATCGGTATCTTGTAACGTAGACTTAACTCGACGCTTTATCTGTAATCGGGCACAATATTATTATTATTTTCATTATCGAAAATCGATATTGGATAACTAGGAACATACGAACCGCGTGTAAGCCGGGTCCCACCGTGATAACGAGCGATAACCGCCTCTGATGGGCGCGCCTAACGAGACCCGCGGCCGCAGTCTTGCGCATCCGGATCTCCTAATCCATTTCTCTCCCTATCCCTCTACAACTACTCCGCATACCTGCGCTTGCGGCCGGTGGACCTTTTTTTGTTTGTCTCCCCCCTCTTGCGGACTCCGGCGCCTGCACATACTATCTCGAGACGCGTTCCGCGACGCACGCTCGTCGCGTGCTCGGTCAGCGCCCGCAATACACGCGTGCGCTTCGTACAATGAAACCTCTGTGAACTTGATATCGTCTTCCACCATGAAGTGCTTCGCCGAGATCTTCGTGACAGTGACCCTCGTGACGGTCGTCGCTGCCGAAGCATCAGTTCGGACGTGCGAACCTATCAAAGTGGCTATGTGCAAGAACATCGGTTACAACCAGACTGGTATGCCTAATTTGGCGCGACATACACTTCAAGCTGACGCCGATGTAACTCTTCAAACCTTCAGTCCACTCGTCCAGTATGGCTGCTCCTCCCAGTTACATCTATTCTTGTGTGCAGTGTACGTGCCTATGTGTACGGACAAAGTGGCGCTGCCCATCGGGCCATGCAGAGGACTGTGCGAAAGCGTTTACGCCAGGTGTTATCCTGTGCTCCGCGGGTTCGGGTTCACATGGCCCACTGAGCTAGACTGCTCTCTGTTCCCGGCAGAGAACAACCACGAACACATGTGCATGGAGGGACCAGGCGAGCGAGCGCCACCGATGGGCAACATGCCTCCAGATGCTCCCGGTGGTGGCCGTGGATCTTGCCGACGCCTTATCAAGCCCAATAGCTGGGTGTGGGTGCGAGGCTCCGGTCGCTGCGCACAATATTGTGACGCCGAAGTACTGTGGGAAGCTGGAGAGCGACGAGCGGCTGAAGTGTGGCTGGCAACTTGGGCAGCGTTGAGTTTTGCATGTACGCTAGCGGCCGTAGGTGCGCAGTTGGCCTGCGGTGATCGTGGTGGCGCTGGCGAGCGCGCCCTAGTGCTGGTGGCGCTGTGCCGCTGCGCCGCTGCTGCAGGCTGGGGCGTCCGCGCAGCGGCAGGTCGCACCGCCGCTGGATGCGCCAAAGACTCCACGTCTCCGACCCGCATGTTGCTGGCGCACGACGGACTGGCTAACCCCAATTGTGCAGTGGTCTTTCTTCTGCTATATTATTTCGGCCTCGCTGCTTCTGTGTGGTAAGTTTTTATTTTGTTTTTGTTAAATGTATCGCTTGATTATTCAATTTTGAAATAATCATGCGATACTTTTTTTTAGGTAGCAAATTGAAATTGCGTTTTGTATAACAAATTATTTCTTTCTCTATGCTAGTTTACCTTTGCAAAATTAAGTACAATAGTTACCCGTTGAATCTTGATATAGAAAAAATGTACCTTTGCTACAACAATGACGCCTACGTACGCTTACTGCACTACTCCGACAATAGTCCCTAACGCAGGATTACTGATACCTGCGCCTTTTGTCAACTTGCATTGAATGTTATATCTTTGTCGCCAATCAATTATGTTTTGTCACTTGTCACATAAAGGATGTTTTTCGATATTTGAGCTTTAGAATTTGGAAGCAACTCATTGTCTTCTCGCAATAAAAACATCAGAGATGAAGATAAATATAAAACCGAAGTTGAAATAGCTTACGCATGCTGTAGCGTTGTTATTGCCGACCATGGGTAGACAAACAATGCTAATTTGTACGAAAATAATCTGCAGACTTCCTTTTGACATTCCCTGTTAGTGACCAGTTAGAGTAGACAACAACCGCCTAGTTTAATTATTGTCTACTGTTTCTAGTCTTCCTTTGTTTTACAGCTGGAATGCATATCTCTAATGTAAAATTTAAATATACTTTAATATTTTATGGAACTATATTACCTATTGTAACCGTACAGTAGATATAAATTCTCGAAAGAACAGACAGAAACATGTAGTTGTAATGGCTTTCCTTTAAAACATTATGTTATCTTCTAACTTATGTATTTTAGTGTACAGCATTCCTTTTAAAGCTCCGGAGATATAACCACACTAGAATATAAATCAAACATGTTCTTCGAAAAACTATTTCCTAAAAGAAGGTTGGTAGAAGAGTCGTAAAGTAAAACGAATTGGGAAATAAAATAAACGAGGTCCATAAATCACGATCTAGGCGACGACGACCGGCTTGTAGCAATCGTAGTCCAATGCTTAAGGTTTGAACGTGGGATGCACTCAGACAACTGGTTCAATAAGTGAGTGTCAAACTTTAAGATTTACTCATTTCATTTGAGTGGGTTACAAGAAGTAGCTGAAATAAACGGTTTCGTGTTTAACACATTAAAATATTTGTAATTTACAACATGCTTTCAACGCTGGTTTTTAATGCCACTCTAAATCTCAAGCCGTTGCAAAAATAAACAGTATTTTGGTTCGATGAAATAGAGCCAAGAAAAATTTCATGCATCTAAAAATTTTATATACAAATTATTTATCAAAAGCCATTCGTAAGAACTGAATTCGCTGTAAATTATATTTTTAGTGTTGGACAGTTTAGAAGTATAAAATTAAATTATTTATGGCTTTCCTGCATCGCAATTTATTTGTATTTGCATCGTATTTAGTTTTGATCTCTCAGTAATCGCTATATATTATAATGATTTTCTGTAAATGTCGTCATTAATATGTCTAAACTAAAAATAATATAAAAATAATACAAAAAGTAACGCGAAGCAGAAGTAAAACTTCCATGTGGATATAACAAAATGCACATACGGTATTGACGGAGTGTCTACTGTCGATCTACGATTTTATATCTTAAAGTTACTTGTCCATGGTTCAAAACCAAGTTCGTTATGGTTCGTAATGGGATACGGAATTAACTGCAGCAAAAAAGTTGCTGTCTTGGATTTCTACATAAATTTCGGCTTAAAAACGTTCCCTTGTAGATCCGAACAAGTCAATGTCGCCGATGTTTTTGGGAAGATGTTTTCAATCAAGTTTCGGTTTTAAGCCCCTCTTTTGTATTGTTGTCTAAATTGAAAACTTACGAACTTTCGTTTTGTATACCACAATTTCAATACAGATTTTGAATACTTAAGTTTCAATTGTTTCCCTTAGCTTTTCCTAATGACGTCAATTTAGTTGCGAAACGTGTAATTCTATAAAATGCTAGTTCCAATATATATAATAACTTTATACATATGACGGATCATATAATATAACTATAATAACGGAAGGTATTCCAGCAATCTGCGTAATGCATACCATGCAGGGAGGTCATGAAACCAAAGCGCTAAAAAACGCTTTTATCTCATAGGATTTTGACATTCAGTGTATTTTGTTTTGAGAGAGTGTTGATTATTTAGAAGCTTAATGTAATAGTACCTATTATTTAGGTTTCATTACGTCGTCCGTATTCTGTGATGGCTATAATTGAAAAATCTGTTCATTCAGGTAAATAAAATGCTTTTATTACCTATTATAAAAATACGAAGTTTTAGATGTGAAGGACGTTGCAAGAGTAGTTTATTCATTTAATTGCATTTTGCGCAACGGTACGTATAGTTCGCCATAAACGTAATGAAATGTGGACGCACAGCTTGACATTTGGACAGATGCCTTAATTATTTCGCGTAATTATTAGGCCCTTGGTATAAACATCATTGGTGGAGTACGATTATTATAACATCCCTTTGAATAGGGTAATGATTGTGTTCCACTTTCATTTAATTTTTCTGTATAAATTGTTTAGCATAAACGTAAAGAGCATAAAAACTATAAGTAGGTATTAGTTTGCTTTTCGTAATAAACGCTAACTATAGCTGCGTTAAAATAATAAAGAAAATAAAGAACTTTTATAGAGGCGATTAAAATTTAATTACCATCCTTACAGTCCGTCCTTTATTGCACACAACAGAAAGGCTGTACAACACCTAATGAATTCTTTCTGCCAATTAATTTAATAAAGAGAATTATTGATTTACATCAGAAATTATTTTTAAAGAAGAATTTATTATAACGCACTTTATTATAAGTACCTTTATACATGAGTATTTTTATGAGTTACTATATTACATGTACCTACTATACTAGGTAATTTTACAGTATTGTTGAATCTTTTCTCGACCTGTTTCAGTTGCATTTGAAGATAATAATAATAATAACAACGCACACACTCAACATAGCCCCGCACTATGGAAACCCTGTGTCGTGGGTGCTATGGACACACATAGACAACCACAAATTACACAAAACCAAACTCACGAGAGAAATAAATGTAGGCCATATAAATATTTCTCTCTGCCCGGGAATCGAACTTGGGACCTCGGCGTGGCAGTCCGACATGGTAGCCGTTCGGCCACGGAGGCAGTTAAGATAGGTGCTTTGATAAATTATTTCTCCATTTGTCTGGTGTACATCACTAATATAGAAGTTGTTTGAAATAGGGATATAAACGACTAAATTGTTAAGTGCTATCTATCGAAAATCTTGTCTAGCAGCATAGTAACGTATTGCAGATTCTCTTTTTCTGAAAATAGCCATTTTGTAGGTAATTACTAAATAATTCGCGAATTGACTTCAAAGTCGATGTCAAAGTCAAATGATTTATTCACCAGGACAACACAGTACATTGCCTATAGGTAAGTCAAATTACAGAAAATACAGACTTAAATTATACAGGTATAACATACTAGTACGTTATGATTTATTAAGGAAATAAATATTCACTTAGATTTGAATCCATAAATTCGTTGATTTTATAAAAAGCGCGATTTTCAAAGTAAAGTTTTAATGTTTGCTTGAATGTAGCCATTTCCAAGGCAGATACACTAACTGGTAGTTTATTGTACATATTAATTTTCATATTTACGCCCTGTTGTAACGTTTTTACTATTCTGGTTTTATTTATTACTAGTTTATGTTTACTTCTCATGTTATATGTATATATGTCTGATCTTTTGTTGTTTCATGTATCTCTAATAATGATCTGTATATATACAATGAAATTACAATCATTATTCTATATTTAACAAAGTACTCTCTAGCAGATACACGTCTGTGAATACCTATGATAATTCGTATTGCTTCATGTTATTTTCGGCTATTCAACTTTACAAAGATATACAATTATGGAAAATACTTATTTGGTCAATGAATACTGTTATCGATTTTTGTAAAAAGTGCACGAAAAAACGCTATCAATATTATGTTTTTTTTTTTAAGTTCCGAGACGATGCATCAAACAATAATAAGATATTAACTAAAATAAAAGCATGTCAACATAGTATTCACACGCCAGCAGTAAATCGAACTTTATAGCACCAGTGATTTCTCCGAAAAGTCCAATTCTTACAACACCGACTCGTTATGATAATTTTAATAGATTTATGTAGAGTCGGCTCTTTGATAGGCTATCTGATGATATCTCGGCCCTGAGGCAGTTATTAATAACTGATGATAACTAGAAGAGATACGAATAACGCCATGTTTATTTGCTAATGTTTGAAATAAGGATATTTACGACTAAATTGTTAGGTGCTACCTATTGAGTGTTATTATATTGAAGTGTTATCTAGCAGCATAGTAACGTATTGAGTATTTTTGTTTTGCTGAAAATAGCCATTTTGTAGGTAATTACCAATTCATTTTCGAATTGACTTTGTTATTTTCGGCAATTCAACTTTAAAAAGAAATACAATTATGGTAGATACTTATTTGGTCAATGAATACTGTTATCGATTTTTGTAAAAGTGCACGAAGAAACGCTATCAATATTATGTTTTTTTTAAGTTCCGAGACGACGTCAACTTCGTGTTATTTTTGCAATATGGTAGCGTGGGTTCATTAATCATCATAATCTGTTCGAAGTATGTACTAGTGGACCATCAATTACATTCCGTTGGACACAGCATACGCTGCAGGTAATTATCGACGGTCAATAGCGAAGACAATGTACGTAACTGGCCGGCGTGTAGCATCAATTACAAGCAGTTATCGCGTTTTATTGACACATGAAAGGGCCCGGTTTAATTGTTTGGGACAACGATTCTCAATCTATTGTTGACGTTATCTTAGATAGTAGATTAAACGTGTCTTGTTTTGAAAGACGAGACCTACTTAAAAACTCTTTGCAATTTTAGACATTTAATAGTTTGATAAGGCGTCTGGCGTAACCTATTTTGGCGATGAAGGTAGTTTTTTTATGA